CGAATCTTGCCTTGGAAGTCCCAAGACCCAATCTCGAATCTCATTTTGGTGCTGATGAGAACTAGGCACGATCGACATTTATGTGCTATTAAGATGAGGAAAATCTTTTTACCAAGCAGGGATTATTGTAATCCAATAATAGATACTGAAATTAACTGGGTTTCGATTAATCTCCTGAGATAGCATTGTTGAGGGGACTTTCATTTTATATGAAATTGCATGAAGAACTCACCAGAAGACGACAGCTGAGTCCCTTGTATTGCAGGCGTTTTCCTTTAACACGACATTCAGATTGGCGCAGCTCACGAGGCATCTTCCCTCGTTTCGACACACACACACACACACACACACGAGTAAAAGCATCATGACCGACATGAAAGATAATTAGCCAAACTCTTCTATATGTATTTATGCCTATCCATTTTGGTTTAAAGTTATGGGTATGTATAAAAGGTAAAATATAGTCAGATAGTCTCCTTGACCTTGGGTTTACGTGAGACTTGCACAAAAATGAGTTCCAGCTCTGATAATACCTATCATATGATGAACGAAAACTCAACCCGCTTTCATTCTAAACGAGAGAGGATGTCTCGTGGACTGCGTCAACCTGAACGTCGTATTAAAGCAAAAAGGCTGCAGTATAACGGGATTCAGCCGTCATCTTCTGATAAGATCAACCTACGAATCTCTTCTTCATGCACTTTCATACGAAGCGTGAGTCTCCCAAATAATGAAATTCAATTGCATTGTGGATTAAACTCCACCATCAGTCCTTGCATCACTTTGAACGACATAATATTACTCAAGTCTTTGGTCTAGATTATCATAATTTCCATGTCTCCTCATTTGAGGCCCCAGGGCTTAGCACAACCTTAAATAAAACTTAGTTCCTTCCTCCATCCAGACAGGCTTTGCGATCACACAGACGGCTTACTTTGACCAAACGGCGGCCATCTCGATCTGTGCGTCAGGACTCCTGTCGCCCCTCCTGACGACGCTCCTCTCTGACGGGTACCAAGCCGGTTGTCGGTACTTGGAGCCGCTAGCCGCCGGGGCCAAGAATACTGGCTCAAACAGGCCCAAGTACGTCGTTGCCTCAGAGGAGATGACACCGGGTGGCTGGTCCATGCAACGGACGTCGAAGGATCTAATCGTTTGGAATGCCACTGGACTACGCCTAGATTCGTTCGACCTATGGACGGACTTGGAGGAGTGTGTGTTGGGGGGGGCGCGGGGGAGGGGTAAGTGAGTGTATGAGAATGGTCCGAGGAACCAACGAAAGGCCGAGTCGAAAAGATGATGTCTTGGCTCAATGAAAGAAGGGTAGGCTATAATCCCACAAATGTTGATGTCTCTAGTTCGAGACTGATTCACACTTTCCGAGGTTTTCACATTTCCCACCTCTCGCCCCACATATCGAGACTATGGACAGCCGATGGCCTACGGGGAAAATGACACAGTAACCAAACTCGAGTCTGGTAGTGGGTGACTATACCATCTGTGGGAAAAATTTTGTCAGCTCTTCTGAGAAGGGATTTCTGTACAGGCAGGATCCACTCTCCCGGACCGGTTTTGCCCAGCTTCAATATGCAATCACCTGTCCGGCATTGGGTTGCAAAGGGAGGGTGCAATTAGGAGCCGGTTCAAGGGGCATAAGACGAGCCATGTCTTGACGATGTGGCTCTAGCTCGAATTTGGTTGGTCGGGCTCGACAGACTCTTCTACCCCTCTGCTTCGCCCTGCAGTCTGGCTGGCACGCTGGCCAATTTCTCTTACGATGGAGACTGTGACAAATGGTGGGGTAAGACGAGCTACCTCCGCCCTTCTTTCATCCGTTTTGGTCTAAACCATGAGATCACTCTACAGCCCGTCGCTTGGCAGCACTGTGTGTGTGTGTCTGTGTGTTTATTTGTGTTGTTCACAAGCCGCCCGAGTGGTTCTAATTGCAGAATCGGTAGCTGAGGGCGAACAGGCTCAGAGGCAGAAAAATGAGGTAATTAACCGCTATCTGAAATTCGTCTTTCTTCCCTTCCCGTAGTGGTATTGCCCGTATCACCGTCAAGATGCCTTCCTTCGGCCGACTCCGATTGGCAAATAGGCTTGCCCGAATTTGGCCAGCCAATCCAGATGGAGACCGAAGTTGCCCAATTTGTTGAAAATTCCAAGTAGACCGTCAAACACACTTGCACAGCCTCGATCGGGGCTCGAAGGAGCTTCTGATGCTCCTCAGTCGTCCCGCTACACTTCCGCAAGCCAAAGTTTATCTTAAGCTTTGCGCACTCGTTTCTTCAAGGTAAAAATGGGCTCGTCATCATCATAGTTTCTAATGCCATTAACTCTGTAAACCCGAAAAATATAGGGTCTGAAAAGGATTCTTCGCAAATATATCGACACTGGTTTAGTGCCAATGCAGATAGGGCAGGCCGGTCTCAAAATGAACTAACACATTTCGTTTCCGTGGATGTTCGGACAAAGGATGAATGCCTTGGAATTGTGATGGCTTGATTGTGCAAAGAATACCTCTACTCATCGTTTAATCCGTGCTGAGCCTTAATCAGTCATGTGACTAAAAGTGTCATAACATGGTATCATCGAAGGTATGAAGACAAAGATGGTGTGGCCTTTTGTGTGGTCGTAACTCCTTTCTTTGTATAGAGGTTATTTGACCTTGTTTTCGCATCAAGACCAAGATGGTGTGGCCTTTTGTGTGGTCACAGTCTCCTTTCGTTGAATAGAAGTTGTTTGACCTTGTTTTCGCAACTTGGTGTGCCCTTTTGTGTGGTCGCAATCTCCTTTCGTTGTATAGAATGGTGTAACCTTTTGTGTGGTCGCAGTCTCCTTTCGTTGTATAGAGGTTGTTTGACCTTGTTTTCGCAACATGGCCATATTGGTAGGAAGACTTAGAGGAACGCACCTAGTCCGGAGTCCATTGTCTGCACGATCATTTCCAAAGTTGAACCGTAGACCTGGTACATTCCCAAACGTTTCGCCGGCATCGTAGTCGGCATCGTCAGTGAGAATCGCCATCCTAAGCACCACACAGCTACTCGTCATTCCCAAACGTTTCGCCGGCATCGTAGTCGGCATCGTCAGTGAGTATCGCCATCCTAAGCACCACACAGTTACTCGTCAAAGAGACAAGTGAATCCGATTCTTTAACCAAACGTGTGCTAAACAATTGTGATATCTCCTCTTCTGCCCTGGGTTATTCGCATTTCCAGTAGCATCCTATCATGCATTCACTATTACAATTTTTAGCGTGTTTATTTAGATATAGTGTGGTGTGCTACTTCGAGCGA